CAAAAGCAACCCGCTTAAAACGCACTCCATCCTGGAGCAGGGCTGATATGGGCTTCAGAATCTTAGAGAACCCATCAATATGGCGTTGCCAGAATGCCACAGTGTGGTACCAAGACCGCAAACCGTGTTGGTTGTCGGGACGGTCAACATCAAGGAGTGCTGCTAACCGATCAGCTGAGATCGTGACGCCCTGATGGTTGTATCACCTACCCAGGATCTTCATAGGCCACATATAGTACCCGATCCGCCTTTGAAAGACCAAACTGAATATCATATTTGTCGCACCGTTCAAAGAATGCAATAAGGTGATCCCAATGCTTCGAGACATCCACAGAGGAGATCACGTTATCATCAATATACCATTTGATACCCTGCAACTCGTCAAACAGACGACCCAGAGTTTCTTGGAATAGCCACGACGCGCCGAAGTATTAGTAACAGTCCCACGGAGTTTGGAATGTTAATATATCCTAGCTCGTATTTTCCAGCGGAAGCTGGTTATAATCATTACAACAATCAACAACAGAGACCCATGGTTTGCCCGCGACATGCCCAAACTTCTCACCCTCGGTGGGGATGTTGAACGGCTTCTGCTTCAGTCCTTCACTTGGCGAAGTTGATGCAATACCGACAGCCACCCTTAATCTTAGGAGTAACCCGCGGGTACCCATTTTCTTGCTTGGCATTGGTACTTTGCTTGACCAGGTCATCAATCTTGCCTTTCATAGTTACCACCTTAGGGTGGTCAAGGCGCGGATTCTTCTGACTACGGACTCGTGCGGGAGGCTCGCCCTCTCTAGTGGGTAGAGCTTGATAGGGTCAACCTTCATGATCCTGTGCTTCTGCTTGTCATAGGCTCGTCCCTCAATCAAGGCTTCCAGCTGTGCCAGGTCCGCTTCGGACTTGATAGCTTCCTTGGCTAACTGCCGCAGCCCAGAACGGTCAAACTCAAAACACTTGTTTGCATGCCGATCACATTCCTCAATCTTCTCAGGCTTATCTAAGTCATCGAGGGCATGATTTGGAAGATCGATACGATTGACCAAGTCTGGCAAGCGAGGGAGGAATACCCCTTCCATATCCTTGGCTTGCGGGAGGACTTTCGCCGGGACAGTGTCCTGCTCAGTATGCTCTCCATGCTTCGGCCCGAAGATCCTGGACTTCTACACCGGAGGCGCCCCCTGTGGAGGTCACCCCGGGAGAGCAATTCAGAAGCGAGGTCGTAGCGGACTTAGGTCCCTTAGCTACCGCTTGCGTTGGTCTCATGATACACCGATCATGAACCCCTATCTTTTCATCGGTTGAAGTAGAGGCCCATTTGCTTGTACCCTAACTAACAGAACCGGTCGAAGATTTTGCCATGACGGACTTAAGTCCGTAATTCGTCACCTGCGTAGGTATCGTAAATGACTCATACCGAACATGCTCATTAAGAGCTGCCGTCTTCAATCGTCTGGCCGGATAGGGACGCTTGTTATGCGCCCTTGGTCGGCTCAGGGACACTGTACTATGATCAGAGTCAGTATCATCCGACGAACCGGATATCAAGCTCCAGCAGGACTGATCACTGCTGTCGTCGCTTGCATCTGTCCGAGCCGCTGAAGCCGGACGCCTCAAAGACGCTGACTTCAGCAAACAATGACTCATAGTGAGCCATACTATGTTCTCGTCACTTGAGGTATCAGAGTCCGACATTATGTCCGGACAGTCGTCATCTCCAGACGACACCTCAGAAGCTGAACTAAGGTACTGTCCCAGGGGAACCACCATTGTCGGTACCGCTACGAAGGCGCTCGTTGGCTCCACCAGCCACACGCTCTAACGGTCGACGCGGCTTATATCGCTTTTTCATCGTCTTTTTGCCCCGCGCCCGCGGTTTCGGCTGTCGGAAGCCAAGCAACAAATTGACTTGCGGGGCTCAAAGGAACATTCGTATCCTTGACCCACGACCACTTAATGGCTCATTGAGGTACTAAAATTGTCTAATCCTCTTGCCACATAAGCGCCCAGCTCGATTGCCGTATCTGATCATACTCAATGAGTATGTCACAATCCATATGTATGTCTTCCACGACACAGTAGTAAGGGTGGCCTTTTGCTAACGCATATGCCCCCCCAATGGAGGACCATATAGGCTTCCAGGTCTTCCCACGGCACTGAATACTTTGAAGTCAAAGTCCTCATGACATCTATTCCTTCCAATGGGGGCCCTGCATAGCTGTCCCTGGCTGTCACACTGAGCAAAACAAGCATGCGATTCGTCACAAAGTTGAACGTGCAGCCCGAATCCGCATACGCCCACATGTGAACAGCGCCAACTACCGCAGGAACAAAGGCACCATTTCATTTGCGACGTGGCTTCTTCTTTAAGGCAGCGCCTGCCGATCCCCCATAACTTAGGCAGTTCTCAGCCATGTGGTTCGTGATCGTGACAAACTGTACAATACAGATCACCCTCTTCCGACGACTCGGAATACGCTCTGTCTCCACTATGGCTCCCTCTATTCTTTCCACGACCCCACTCACGACTACGTGGGCGTGAGCTATTCCGCCCCAGAACATGAATGCGAACACCCTCTAAGCGAGTCGTCGTCCTCTTACTCCGACCGCCTGCCACGCGATCTTCAAGGCTTGGAATAACACCCATCTCTGCCCTTCTTGTGATACCGTTCCGAATTTTGCTCTCTCGGAGACCGAGAGCGCAAGTATTGGAGCGTACAAACTTCTGAACCGAATTGGTTAGAGTTTATTGTTGAACATTACTGATTATTTCTGATTATTTGTACTCGAATAAACTATGGTAAAATTGTGGTGAACTATATTCCAGCATGGGAATATTGTTAGCGCGTGGATCAGGGTGAAAAACCTGGTTTTGGTTTAAACCGAGAGGGAAAGGTTAACCTGTCCAAAACCCCCCAGAAACCAAATCAAGGTTGGTGCTGTTTTTGAGGAGAGGTTGGAGGATAAGTATGATCCTGTAACAGTGTGTTTGTAAAATGTTCGTGTTTGGGTTTTGAGAGACATTTAGTAAGTAGGTCAGCGGGGTTGAGATGGGTGCTGACGTAGTGGAGGGTGATCATGCCTGATTTAGCGCAATCATGGATGTAATGTGCAAAAACCGCGATGTGTTCAAGACCCTTGGCGGTGCCTGTGCCAAGCGCAACCTTAATAGCAGAATGGTAATCGACATGTAGAGTAGTCGCTGACGAGAAACCGAGTCCCATGGCATTGAGGATATTCCGAATCCATGCGATATATCGTGTAGTCTCTGACGCGGCTATATACTCTGCCTTTCTGTTTTTGGCTGCGCCAATGGACAGGAGAATTGTTGATAGAGACAATAATTCCTGTGTGCGATTTGCGTGTGAGGAGGCAGAAGCCCCAGTCAGAATCGGTATGAGCTGTAATGTGGCGGCTGATGTCCAGATTGTCGGGAGTTACGCGATAGTGGATGGCAAGATGTTTGGTGGTGATTAGGTAGTGGAGTATACGGGTGAGGGCAGTGTAATGGGAGGTGAGTGGTGCAAAAATGAAGGCGGCTAATTGGTTCAATGCGCATGCTATGTCGGGGCGGGTCATATTAGCTGTGAACCCGAGTGCTCCGAGGAGCTTGCAATACTTCCCGTGAAACAAGGGGCCGGTGAGATGACCAGGATGGTCGCCCCGTGCTAGGAGTATATTTAGGGGGCGCACCAATGGCATTAAATGCTTGACCCATACGTTCAATGTATGGTCTTGGAGGATGGCAATAGTGCCCGATGGGTACTAAAGTATGCGAAGGCCAACGAGATGGCGGGCAAGCCCCAGACTCTTCATGCTGTAGGTTTTAGAGAGAGTAGTGTAGAGCCACTGCTCCTGGCCAGAGTCGCATATAACCGCTGGTACTATTTGTCAACGTAAATGACGAGTATAATGTCACGGGCGGTGTGGAGCCAGATGTTCTCATTCTGTTGACTTTGGATAGAGCCAAGTCTGGTGAGAGTTCGTCCGATGTCTTGGCTCCAGAGGCGGTTTAAGGCTGTATCGACCTCGAAGGAGCTTGAGAACTGTGTTGGGGGGATAGTGGCCAAGTTCTACACTGCCTTTGGGCGAATACATGTAGACCGGTGTGTCTAGTTTGGAGTAGAGATAGGCCGTGTTGACGTCAAAATGATGGACTGTGCGGTGTTGAAAAGCCGCGGTGGCTAGGAAGGTACGGAGCGTGGTGGAAGAGGTGGTCGGGCCATACATATTCCAAATAGAATCGCCATGCATCTGTTTGTCGCCGCGGGCCACAATCCGGGCCTTGAGGACGGTAAGGGCCCCGTGCTCGTCATGTTTACGTGTAAATACATATTTAGAGTAGATGATCTTCGCCGTGGACGGGACAGCGTGCAGGGGCACGATGTCGGCGATTTTGTTGCGGTCGTGTGCCGAACGTTCGCGATCAATGGCCTGTGACCATTGAGGCCATTCGACACTAGATTTGGCCTAAAATTATTGGACCAAAATGTGTACGGTCAGAAGCCCCAAAATTGGGGAGAGGTTCAGCCCACTGCACGCAGACCAGAAAGTCGGACAAAAACAAACAGGACAAAGATCAACCCAGTAACTCGTAGTACAATAACAGGTGCAGGGCACAAATATTTTTGTTTCAAAAAACAAGATATAAAAACATGAACGTTAACGTTTTCACACTTTGGCCTAAAAAATCCGACGTTTGAGCTCTGATTTTTCGTATTGCTCATTGCTCTTCAGCTTTCATCATGGGGAGCTCATTGCACACAGCTTCTAACTTTGAGAGTTCAGTATCAAAATTATTTATTTCAAAAGATTTTTAATCTTTCCAGCCCCGCTTTATCGGGTTCTCAGTCTCTATGCTCTGTGCGAGTATGTATTCTCTCCAGCTACAGGCTTAACCATGGTCTTCTTGTATTTAACGAACAATTTCCCCACGAGTGCTTTTGTCAAAGCATCAGCAGTCATCTCGTCTGTGGGCGTGTATCGTAGGACCACCGAATTGTCTTGAATTTTATCCCGGATAAAATAGTGTCTTAGGTAGAGGTGTTTGGTCTTGCGGTTCACCTTATCATCTTCACCAATTTTTATCGCCGATCGGTTGTTTTGATTGATGACAATTGGTCCAATGTCGATATCAAGTTCCGACAATAAATTTTGCAGCCAGCAGATTTCCTTTGTGACATCATTTAAAGCAATAATTTCTGCTTCGCAAGTGGACTGCGCTGTCAGTTTCTGCTTTCTTGATCCCCAAATCACAGGTGCACCGCACATAAAAATGACGTAGCCACTTTTTGATTTACGGTCTGTTGCGTCAGAGGCAAAGCTTGCGTTAGCGAAAGCTACCGGCTGTAGGGGTATCTCAGGGTCAAACCTTAGTCCATATCCAGAGGTGCCTTTCAGATATCGAAGTATTCGCTTGGCAGCGTTCCAGTGATAGCTCGTTCAGACGAGTCTGCGCCACACCTTAAACATATCTAGCTGCCTCTGGATTCTCTACTGGTAAACAAAAACCAGCAATACTATTGCTACATGGAATTTCTTCACTATAGTTAGGTCGGTGTGGCATATGCCATAAAGTAAATGGCAACACAATTGCCAAAAACATCTGCTGTGGACGTACCAGAATCTCCATTAACTCCTGGCGTGCCGGACCATCATCCAGCTTAACATTGCGCTTGACTTGCATGGGCACACTAAAGCTCTGGAATGTTGCCTCTCTAAAATTGGTATTTAGATTCCTGACCTGCTGCTTTCACCTCAATCTCCGTAAAAGACCATCCACCCTTTTTGCATTTTGCAAACCATATGTCTCGGGCATCTCAGATAAATCGATTTCCTCTATACGACAATCATTAGTTACTAATGCTACCGTTTTTGCATTTCGTTATATATTTTTCGCTCTATATCGCGCTTCGATATCGTGACCTGGTCCTAATTGTTTTGATACATGTATGCCTAATTTCCCGGCTACCGCTGCGTTCTGACGAGTGCTGCTTTGTGACTTATCACTTGATTCAGGAGCACCTACATGCACCTATGCCTCTGATCTTTCTTCTTTGAGTGGCCTTTTCTACAATTCTTAGTAATCATATCGAACTAAGCACACACATGTAACAACATACACATACACACACACATGCAACTATATTTTTTTACGTACACACATACAATTACATACACCTAGGCACACACATGCAACAACATACACCTACGCACACACACGCAACTATATATAGCTACGTACACACACGCAACTACATACACCTACGCACACGCATGCAAGAAAGTACACCTGCACACACATCCGCAACTACAATATATATA